CATATATACCTTCAAATTTTGAACATCATTTTATCTCTATTGCAAGAACCTTTAATCCTGCCCTCTTGATATAGAAGACAGTCAATAAATTAATTCACTTGTTAGGTATTAATTTCTGTGATTAACAGCACATCTACATGTAAACAATCCTCCAAAAAGGTAATGAACTATTCTTAAATGAGCAACTGCTTTTATGCTCCCCAATCCTTCAAATTTTAGGAATTAGTAAAATTATGTGAGAACAAAACAAAAAAAATTTCCTTTTATTTATTGAGGGTGAAATACATTATTACCAGTAGCCTGGTTAAGTTTACATAATGGTCCTCCCTAACTATGTACTTCAAAATCCCCACTGGTAGGAGACATCAGTGGGCTATTTGCAGAGCACAGCTAATGAGTTGAACTAGGGGCAACTGAGGACAATTCCAGTTAGAGGAAGGGTGGAGGACTTAAACCCAGGACACGGGATTACAAATTCAGCACCCTAACCACTCGGCCAGGCTGCCTCCTTATGAAAGAAATGAATATGAAAGCAATCTTTGCAATACTGAACACTTCTTAAGTAGTAGTGAAAATAAGGTCTGCAAAAAAAACAAAACAAAACAAAAAACAACAACAACACACAATGACCAAATCCCGCTTGGCTTGTTAGCTCAATTGATAGAGCACTGCACCAGTGTTGCTGAGGTCATGAGTTCAACTCCTGTAGAGGCCTGAATTTATTTCAGTCCTTATTTTCACTACTGCTTAAGTAATGTTCATTACTGGGAAGGTTGGTTTTCATATTTATTTCACAGTTTTAGGCTAGGTAATTACAGACTCAAATTGAATTTTTTCTTGATTCATAATTTGTCATAATATCATTTCTCAATCGTGTAGTCAGACTCTGGAAGGGATACTAACAGAGAGGATGAGAGCATTGTGGCTGGTAACCACGCAGATCAGTCAAGAGGTTTGTTGCTGTTTCATGTTAATCACGTGCAGTAAAAGTAAATTGTATATAAAAATTAATCTGATATCTTTAAGTCCAGGAAAACATTGAGTTGATTTTTTCGATAATGAAAGTTGCTGACAGTCAAATTGATTGTTAGTTGAAAAACATAGTCAGATTTTTTTCTCATGCTGTTAGTGCACCATAATGATTGAAGTGGCATTTTTACAAGATTTAAAAACGTATAGCATTCTAATGAACTTGTTTCATATACATGTATACACTTTTCCATTTCTAAGAATGTTGCTGTAACTAACTCAACTAATTTAATCAAAATAATTTGGATATATCAAAAAAGTTGAAATGGTAAATTGGCCACCGTAACGATTACAAAAGCTGACGTTTCGAGCGTTAGCCCTTCTTCGGAGCGAATAGAGGAATTGTGGGTTGTGTGTGCTTTTAAATGCAGAAAATGGAACTACGTTATTGGTGGGAACATGGCAACGAGAAAAACAAGAATAAATTTAATCAAAAGGGGACTACAACTGCAACTAATCTAAAGTTTCTCTAAAGCTGAGCGGTGATTGAGTTTTATTCATATTTCAACCGTTCATTTTTTTCAGATAGATCTGGTGTGATGGCTCCTTGCTGGGGATACACAGAGGTAATTATTCAACTAAGAGTAATATTGTAAAAAGAATAAGGAAGATGGTAAGTTTTGAGTACGGTAAAGAAATAGTGAAAAATGTTTTCCGATTCCTTATGGGAATTTTTCTTTGTCCCACTCTTGTGGATCTCTATTTCTTTACAGTTAAAAAATTTCCATCTTTCTTAATCTATTTACGAAAAATGGCGCTACTGACATTGCAGATCCCAGCTGTATGCAGGACGCGTGTCAAATAATAACTTCATAATGGGCCTTACCCACCGTGGAGTCTCTGTGGCTCAGTGGTAGAGCATCAGAGCGTGGAATCCGAAGGTCTGAGGTTCGATTCCTCATCAGGACTCAGAATTTTGTCTTTGTCTTACGATGTACAGTTTACATGCAGGAGTCATGCGATTCACGCAGTTATATGGTTTAGAGACACTTAAATGACTTACTAGTTGTAACTAGTAGCTATAACAGGAATCAAAAGAAAAAGAAATTCTTTAAAATCACACAGTATGGTGGGTAAAATGCTTTGCATTCACAGCTGTCAGACTGAGGTGAACAGGATCATTGCCAAAATAGTCGCGTGTGAATTTCTTTTGTGCGAGTGTGTGTACGTTCTCGTTTCTTTTTTTTTTTTTTAATGGTAGATCATTCATTTTCATTGTATTTAGGAGTCTACAAATTTTCTAATGTCTTTTTCCACTGCTCTCCCGGATGGTGCTGAATCATATGAATTTATGGGCGATTTTGAAAATCTTCCTCCTGTAACCTTGGAATATTTAAATGCCTTCACCTTGACAGGCTGTAGTCCAAGTAAGTTGCATTTTACATCTGTCTTAGTTATGGTTTGCTTTCCCTCTTTATTGCAAGCCTTAAGACTGATCTTCGTGCCATGTTTAAAAAAATGGAGGATATATCTTTAATATATCGCTTAAAAATGCTATTTAGCTGTTAAAACAAGATATACTGAAGAAAAATTGCAACGAAGCTAGAGATGTTCTACAAAGCGACTCAACACGGAGGAGATACCGCCCGCTGAGAGTGGGCCAGATGGGAGAATACTGCTTGCTCTCAAACCAATCAGATCACAGGATTTGCAGAATACCGTTGCTCAGAAACTGAGGAAAAAAATAACAGTTACTATAAATTGACAGCTGTTGAATCGTGACAGATGCTAATGAAAAATGTTTCAAAGTTCGCTTGAAAGCCTTTTGAAACGCTATAAAAAGTTTTTCGGTAAAGTATCCCTCATTAATTCGAATTACCACTCTTTTCTCCACTACCTACTCGCTAAAAAGTTGCTCAGTCTTTTTACAGCGGATCTTGCCGTTATTATAGCCCTAAATCGTTCGGTTTCTTTTGGCAAGTAGTTCGAAAAGTTAAAGAAAAATCTAAGAATGCAATTCACCAGCCTAGGTCGGTCCATACTGGGAGAAACTGTTACAATTATTCATATTTTTAAGCTGATTCATTTGTTCATAGACACTTTGATGATTATCAAAGTGATTATATTCAACCCTTTTAATTCCCAAAAGTGATTCACATATAATTTCTCCTTTTTATATCCATTCATTATCAAGCAAAAAGGTAATGAGAATACGCAAACTTATCCCTGAGATAGATACCTTGGTGTAACACCAATTTGTCATAACTAATTTACTAGGAAATGTGTAGCAGCTAAAGGGGAGAATCAGATCTTGGGACTTAAAGTGTTAAATGGGTACAACACGATATTAAAATTTTTATTGTCACGACAGCATTCAACCCTTCATTTTCCGAAGCAATCTGAAATCCGACTATCGGCCGATTTAGTCGGCTTACAGATCTGCTTAAGACCGATGACAAAGATTCATGTGATGCTGTTAAATTTTGTATTCATTTTGCATGTCTTATTAATTGATACACAGTCAGTGGTATTGGTATCGACAGCTATTATTTTAAATTTCCAGTCAGAGAGGATCCTGGCAAAGTAACAGTAAAGGTATATTATACCTCTGAAAAAGGGATGATGCAGTTTGGAGATGACCTCTGTTTTGAATATAAAGACCGAATAGATGAAGCGATAACAGTCATGATGGCCAATCAGCCTGCCAGAGATGCTATTGCAGTTGGTGCGTTCCAAGGACTGAGAAGCAGTTCAAGAGGCCCAAGAAGACCAAATCCTTTTTCCCCACCGCAAACTGGTAAGGTTTGAATATTAAGGTTGACCAAAGATGAGAGGTGTACTATGGAACATCTTTCTTTATAGATGGTGTTCAAGGAATAATTGTAACTAGTTTTTAAAAGTTAAAAAGAGGCGAAAGTCAAGGATCCTCCATATTACGGCAAAGGCATCCATTTTGGTTATATCGATTACGTAGATTCTCCTTTTAGTAAAGGTAGGATCTAAGCCAGGAAGGTACCAGTACACAGTGTGAGTTATGTAAATAACATCATAGAGATACGAGTTCCATCAATATGGTTAAGGAAGCAGTGAGCATACCATAGAGTTATTCCAACTGAAAGAAAAGCATCTTGCTTTGTTGAATTTGCGTAAATTTCACGACATGAACCTTGTTGGAATNGCAATCTGGGTGATTTGAGTCAAGCAAAAGAGTTTTATGATCGCGCACTGGCCATTCGTCTAAAAAAACTCGGACCTGACCATGTCGATGTCGCATGGACGTACGCCAACCTGGGAATTGTGCATCGCAATCTGGGTGATTTGAGTCAAGCAAAAGAGTTTTATGATCGCGCACTGGCCATTCGTCTAAAAAAACTCGGACCTGACCATGTCGATGTCGCACAGACGTACGCCAACCTGGGAAATGTGCATCGGAAGCTGGGTGATTTGAGTCAGGGAAAAGAGTTTTATGATCGCGCACTGTCCATTCGTCTGAAAACACTCGGACCTGAGCATGTTGATCTCGCAAACACGTACCACAACTTGGGAATTGTGCACCGCAATCTGGGTGATCTGAGTCAGGCAAAAGAGTTTCATGATCGCGCACTAGCCATTCGTCTGAAAAAACTCGGACCTGACCACGTTGATGTCGCAAGCACGTACTCCAACTTGGAATTGTGCACCGCAATCTGGGTGACGTTAGAAAGGGAAAAGAGTATCATGATCGCGCACTGGTCATTCTTTTAAAAACGCCTAGATCTGAGCTCGTTACTCGGTGGCCCACGCTTGGTTTTGGAAAACGAAGCAATGCTTCAGCGCATTCTGGATTAGTGACCGAAAAACGTTTGAAAAGAAATTAGAAACTCCTTGTAGGACTTTTTTGATTGAGGTAGTAAGATTTAGAATAATTTTTTTTGCCGTCCTTGGAACCAAATTTAATTTTCTGTTCTGACATGTGGGAAAAATGTTCACAGTTCTACGAGTGATCGAAAAGAAAATTCATAAATTCCCACGCAGAGCTCTCTTTAGTGTAAGGTTTGTAGAACAGTTCTGTGTCTTGATGTCGGGGTGTGGATTTTAGGAGTTTTTTTACTTTCCATGTGTTACGATTCAGCTCACGTTTACTCTGACGTAGGCTTGGCCTCTGTTTACTCGAGAAAGACACGAAACAGTTTTAGAAATCTAATTTTACCTCGGGTAAAGTACTCGTACGGATGGCGTTAGTTTATTTTCGGTATGGCAAGACTTGAGAACATTCTACATTGCGAATTTCAGCACTGCTCCTCTTTCAGTTCT